ATCCAGGGACTCTGGGATCATGACCTGAGTGGAAGGCAGTGGCTTAACCAACTGAGCCGCCCAGGTGCCCCAGTCATAAAAATTTTTAGTTAGCAGTGTTGTGAATATCTTTCCATATCAATGAATAGACATATACATCAAACCTTTCAAAAGTTGTTGAGAGTTACAATGTATGGATATTTTATTCCATTCCCTGCTGTTGGCCATTCAGAATAGTTTTTTGCATCATTATAATCAATGTTGAAATGATTATGCATAAATGTGTACATTTCTGTTAGAGTTTTTGGAATAAGATTTTATTGATTTTTCTTAAGATTTTATTATTTGAGAGCAAATGAGTGGGGAGAGGGGCAGAGAGAGAGAAGCAGACTCTCTGCTAAGCAGGGAACCCAATAAAGGGCTTGATCCCAGGACCCAGAGATCATGACATAAGCCAAAGTCACACACTTAACCAACTGAACCACCCAGGAGCCTCTTTAATTTTAGTTTTTTTAAGATTTATTTATAGGGGTGGGGGAGTGGCAGAGGGAGAGAATCTCTTAAGACTCTACTGAGCAAGAGCCCAATACAGGGCTCCATCCCACAACCCATGAGATCATGAGCTGAGCAGAAACCAAGCTGGCTGCTTAACTGAGTGAGCCACCCAGGTGCCCCAGAATAAGTATTTAGAAGTAAAATCTCTGGTTCAAGAGGAGTGTTGATAGATACTTTGTCCAATAGCCAGAATCACGGTGTTTAAATGTTCGTTTATTTCTCTTCCTTCCCATCAGTCTGGAGCCTCTTTCAAGGTGGAAATACTGTCTCGTTAGTTTCTGTGTCCCCAGACTACACTTGGAATATTGCCTGCTCATATCATAGTCAAGCATGTCATAGATTCAGGCCATTTAGCTGATTGCTCTTTTCTCAAAATAAGGAAACCCAAAACAGGGCTTCAGGATTATTAGTCCCAGACAAACTTAGTTCCAATGTTTTCAAGAAAATCATCCTAATAGCAGGTCAAGCACAGGGTTTGAACCTATGTGTTGAATGGGATGTATAGCATTATGAGGTCAGCATTTATGGGCTGTGCCACTAATTTCGTGATGATCACTTCTTCACGTCCATAATGGCATTTCTTATGATGTTATTTCCCAGCCAATATACATATCTTCCTTTTTCTTAATTAAGAACAAATTCCTGGAACATAGGGACAATTATATTTCTTTGCCTATAAATTTGTGTTCTAAGTAGGCCCTAAATACATGTTTCTTGATCACCCAAATCTAGTTTTGATAAAACTGCTAGGGGGAAGGACAGGGACTTGTTCTGCTAATGTTGTCAACCCCTGATAAAGGGCCAAATAAGAAAATTCGCCACCTGTGCTCGCTGCTTACAGTCGAAGGTGACTGTCTCTGCTCCATGTCACATGTCACATGTCACTGACGGGTGACAGGCAGGGAGTACGCACTCACTATCAGTGAGTACTCAGTCTTGGCTGAGGCAGCTGCTGGGCATTGTTCATGGTCAACTTGGAGACCAAAGACCGTTTCAGCCCCTCAAGTAAATGTGCTTCTGCTTTTGCCACCCAGCACCCCCCCACCCTTCACCCCTCTATTCCTTTCGGCATTGTGTTTCTGATATTTTATGTCTCTAGCCTGAACAAATTGTCTGAATAACATATAGCCTTCCACCAGCTTAAAGAATGTAGGAATATTTTTTTAAAACCAGTAGCAGGAATATGGGAGAAAAGAAAATGAGTCTCTCAGAGCCGTTACCCACTCATTAGCCTGCTCAGTACATTCGATGGGCTTCTACAGCAGTGAAACAGCCAGGGCTTAAGGTTCAAAATGAACCCCAGGCCTTTCACCTAAGTTTGTGAAATTATGGTTAAGCATGGTGGAGGTAGAAGAGGAGGAGGAAAACAGATCAAAATGCATTAAATTACAAAAAATGATGACTAAGTAACTGTATCCTACTGTATCCTGGAGGTCAGGATATAATACTCCACTCATTCCTGTAAATGGTTTGACTCCCACACTGAAGGAGAGTAGTACCACTGGTTTCTGTAATTGTCCCATCTCCTTTCCCCAGGAGTACTGGATGGCCCTGCGTCCCAGTCCCCCGGCCACACCATGCACCACCCAAATGGGGCTGCTACCTCTACTCTTCCTCTGCTTCCCAGACCTGGAGTTTTCATGAAACAGGACAAGGGCTTAGAAGGGGTGGTGGGATAGAGTTGTGAGGCTGTTACCTTTTACTTGTGCCAGTAAAGATACTGGGATGGGGCACCTGGCTGGCTCAGTTGGTTGAGCATCTGCCTTTGGTTCAGGTCATGATCTCAGGATCCTGGGATTGAGACCTGTGTCAGGCTCTCTGCTCAGTGGGGAGTCAGCTTCTCCCTCTGCCCCTCTCCCCACTCATGTTCTCTCTCTCTCTCATAAATAAAATATTTTTTAAAAAATTTAAAAAAGATCCTTGGGATGACTCAGGCATCCACTCTCACCAACTACACAAAGACACAGACCACAGCTACACCCTCAAAGAAGAGAGAATAAAGTTCTCCCCAGGTTCGGACAGCTGGAAATCAAAGCCAACACAGATAATATATCCTCTTGTTCTTGTTTCTCTCTTCCTGAAAAATGTGTGAGAAAACTTTCTTATGGAGCAAGGTTGGCATCCGGGAAACTCCCTCAGTCTATACCTGCACGTTTTCCACTTTTTCCAAGCACATGCCTCGATGCACTTTGATTCTGCTCTGCTGTTCTGCGTCTCTGGTTCCCCTCCCCCAGCACTTGGCCTCCTTTGCTTATACTCATCCTTTTCTTTCTCCGATTCTTCCTCCTGCTCTCCTTTTTCTTTGACCCCCGTGGAGCTCTGTGACTCCATTGTGAGCCAACACGGTTTTCTCACCTCTTAGCTCTATTTCTCCCCATTTTATTGCGTTACATCCCCACTGGTCCTGATTACAGTCCATTCCCAGAGCTACAAAGGGGAGGAAGCATCTGCTCCTTGGGGTGGGAGGATCAGTCCACTCCATCCTCTTCTGAGAAGATCAGCAAAATTTACCAGATCCATGCCTGAGGCTGCTCCTGGCTTCTTGCCCAGGATTTTCCCACTTTCAGAAAATACTCTGAGTTGGCTGTTCTTTGGCTTTCTTATCTCTCTTTTTTGGTAAATTATGAATAATAATTTAAAAAATTGAAAAACTAAAATTAAAGCCAGATTGTCATCCATAACTTCACTACTTAACTTTTATCAGTTTGGTATATTGCTTAAAATTATGCACTTAAAAACATGTTCCATGGGCGGGAATGGAAATTGGTGCAGCCACTGTGGAAAACAGTACAGAGTTTCCTCGAAAAACTGAAAAATAGGAATGCCGTACAATCTGGTAACTCCACTACTGGGTATTTACCCGAAGAAAACAACAACAATCATTTGAAAAGATAGATGCACCCCTATGCTCATGGCAGCATTGTTTTTAATAGCCAAGATAAGGAAGCCACCTAGGTGTCCCTCCAAAGATGAATGGTTAAAAAAGATGTGTGATCTATGCACAATGTAGTATTACTCAGCCATAAAAAAACAGTGAGATCTTACCATTTGCAACAATATGGTTGGACCCAGAGGGTATATTGCTAAGTGAATTAAGTCAGAGACAAATACCATCTGATTTCACTTATATGTGGAATCTAAAAAACAAAGCAAAAAAAGAAACAGACCCATGAATACATAGAACAAACTGATGGTTACCAGAGGAGAGGGGGGTGTGGGGCGGATAGGCAAAAAGGAGTGAAGAGGAGAGGGGGATACAGGCGTCCAGTTATGGAATGAATAAGTTATGGGAATAAAAGATACAGCATAGGGAATAGAGTCCACAGTATTGTAATAGGTTGTATCGTAACAGATGGTGGCTATACTTGTGGAGAACATAGCATACATACAGAGACCGTGAATCACTATGTTGTATACCTGAAACTAATGTAACATCGTCAACTATATTTCAATTTATTTTTTTATGTTTTACTTTAAATTAAAAAATAAGTTCCTGTAATCATAGCATGCATATGTTTTAAAACTTTTTTTCATTTCATACACTACTAGGGTTTTCTCTTTGTGACCCGTCTTCAGACATATTTTAAAAATTAGGGTGTACCATTCTGTTGATTGGATGTGTTCTATTTTATGTAACCATCTCTATACTACTTTTTCTATGACTTGAAAATTTTGCTTGTTGTTTCTCCATATATGCATGTCCCATTTTGAAATTTTTTTTTAACATAGATTTCTAGTAATGAAGTTATAGCTCTAAGGACATGACCATTTTTTAGACTCTCGATCCATATTAACAAATTATATTTGAAAAGGTTATCCTAATTTAGTGCCACCAGCTATATCTGGATACAACTTTTACCATATTTTTCCCAGAATTGAATGCTATTTTATATATGTAGCTAATTCCATAAGCAACAAATGTTACTTTGTTTTTTCTTCCATTAGTGGTTTTGTTAATTTCCCATGTTTGTTTACCCCTCATGTTTTATAAATTACCTATTTGACTATTAACGTATTTTCTCCCTTCCTTTCTGATACTTGTGCCTCTTAAGAGTGTCTTTGTTATTATTTTATAAAATCAATATGTATGAATTTATAAAGATATGAATATTGTCAGACTTAGTGCAAATGTTTTTTGTCTATTCTTTTGTATTGGCTGTATTTTTCTTTGACTTACCTAAGTTTCGAAATTTAATACCGTGAAGTCAGCCAACTTTTTGTATATTCTTGGGCTTAGAAAGTTGCCTTACCAAAAGGAATAAAAAGGTGAGAAAGACAGAAAAGGAAAGCTAGCCTGCTGTCTGGGGTTAGTATTTAGTTGTATTTGTTTTCGTTTTTTTGGGCCCAGGCATCAGATCACTGTGATAAATGGGGTCAAAGGTCACCACCAGATTCCCTCTCACTTCCTCTTGGGTAAGGAAGGGTTTGGAGGAGGGAGGTAAGATGGTATCATCTCCTGGGTGGGGAGCTTGATATCCTGATGAGGAGAACTTCTCTTCTCCTGGGCTAGGAATAAGGATTTGCTTAGGCTGTGGGTAGTCAGGCAAGAGTTTGATCTACTGTGAGGGAAGGGACAAAGGAGTAACAGGAGACCCCCCCCCTCACCCCCTAACCAAACTACTTCTCCATAGACCTGAAGCTCACTTAACACTCAGTGTGTATTAACTAGTTTTTCCCGTCTTGGAGGGAAATAACCTGGGACTGTTGCCTGTTTGCAAGGAAGTTATACTTAGATATGTGTGTACAGACCTGTGTGTACGTTTATCAGAATGAGAAAACTCACACAACTGACAGAACAGGAACCTGTAAGCTGGTAAAACTTGCAGAGTCCTTTCAGAATCCTGTCTAAAAATTTTTGCTGTGGGCTGCTTCCTGCTCCCACTGAGGAACAAAGAGGAGGAGCCTAAGCTCTAAACCTATTGCAAATGACTTCACCAATGGGATTAAAAAGTGTTGGTGTTCCTGCCAATCACTTCTGCTCAGGGAGGAGTTTCATATGGGTCCAGAAACTCCTCCCCTTCACTTCCTGCTACCTGGCCCCCTACTCCTTTAAGTAGACACCTGGTTGCAAACACTGTATGGGCTTCTCAAAGAGTTCTAGATCCTAATCAGCAATAGAAAGGAGGGGAAAAAATCAGCCAGGGAACATGAAACCAGTGTGGTGGTATCAGAATGTTTTAGAATACAGCTTTTTCAGTCTCTTAAAAGTGTACCACAGTCATATATGTACGTAGTTCCACAAAGCCACTGTGAAAGGAGTCACCTAGGATATTTCGGTTTCCAGCCATTTTTACTCCCCAAAGACAATTGTTTCAATTTGAAAAGTTATTTCTTAATGTTTGCCCTAATATCTCTAAACAAAAAAGTATCTTACATTGCTATCTTTTGCCTGCCTTTAGATTTTAAGCATTTTCTATTTCAGGGATCAAGGGCAGGCTGCCCAAAATGTGCTACTTTGGCATATTGATTACCTCAAATAAAAGTTATTTAAGAGACAGTCTATGTAAGAAGGCCATTCAGACCCTCCTCTGTTCCCCCAAAAGCCACAAATAAATCTCCCCTGTGAAAGGTACCCTTCCTGTATCAGGAGGTAGAGAGATATCCTTATCACCAAAGATAGGAAATTTGGAGCCAAGAAGGCTGTATAAACAACCCTTGTTCCTTTTTTGCTAGTTTACTACCCCAGCCTCAATTCTGTTTAGAATTCCTTACCAATCGAAGGTCCCAAAGTTAAGTTTTGTTTGTCCTGTTGTTCCTCATGGATTTATTATCTCTTTGTCTAAAACGTATAAAGGCTTTGGTCCTTGTTTGGTCTCAGTTGCGTTAATTGGGCCTTCATGGCTCATGTAATAAAACTTTGGTTTATTTTCTCCTGTTAATCTATCTCCTATAAATTTAATTCTTAGCCCAGCTAGAAGAACCCTGGACCAACGAAAATTTCTTCCTCCCCTTCACCTAACACAGTCAGCAGGATAAACTTCCACTGGACATTGGCTCTGAAGATTCTGCAGCTTTGAGCTCTGGGGACTGTGACATAAAACCAGAAAGTAAGGCTTCTTCTGTCAGCCTCCTGACACCTCTGTGGAGTCAGTGGAGCAAGAGGGGTGAGATTTTTGTTGTCTCTAAGCTTAGGAGATAAAGTACTGGAACTAGTTCCTTGGGCTTAAGGACTCTTGGTAAAAATTTGGTAGAGTACTCTTGGGTTACTGATCCATTTCCTCTCAGAGATGGTCTTTGGTTTTTTTTGGCCTGTCTTTTATGACAAAAACCAAACCAAACCCACCCTAGGGCAGAAGGCAGCACGGGCCCCGTAAACTGACTGTTCCAACTGGCTTCACAGACAGGCGAATCCAGTGATTCTGATCAGACCAGCGCCATTTAGACAAACTTTGTGGTGGGTTATGTGCATCAGAGGTAAAGGCTATTGCTATGGGACATGTTGGAAGGAAAAGCCATGGAGTTGTGGGCACAAGTCAAGCACTAAAAGCTGTTAGAGCATTTACCACCTAACCCAAAGGCTCCCGTGTTAGGATGAGTTGGTCACAGAATGCATTAGATCGGCACCAGGTCACCGGAAACCTCAAAAAAAGTTCTGTGCAATGAAATACACCAAAAAACACACAATCTCCAGCCCCGTGGCACATCCGTATTAGCATGGCTCCAAGAGAGCCAAGGCTGAGCTAAAGTTGTTAATGTTGCATAAGAAAAATCAGATGGGAGTTTTTCTTTTCATCTCGTCCTATGTCAAAGAGCTTGACTTTGTGACCAGTGAGAACATTCCCTGTCGTCTTCACCACTGGGGAGCGTGCCCTTGTCGGGATGCACCTTGGTGGCCAGTCAACTAGAATGGGAATCTGAGACATATATTGTTTGTTTTTTTTAAAGATTTTATTTATTTATTTGACAGACAGAGAACACAAGTAGGCAGAGAGGCAGGCAGAGAGAGGAAGGGAAGCAGGCTCCCTGCCAAGCAGAGAGCCCGATGCAGGGTTATTCCAGGACCCCGGGATCAGGACCCAAGCCGAAGGCAGAAGCTTTAATCCACTGAGCCACCCAGGCATCCTCGAGACATGTACTGTTAAGCAGCACTATTTTTGTCCAGACCTGCCAGTGCTCAGGAAGCTGTCATAAGAGGTCCCAGCCCACAAGGGACCTTTGTTGTCTCAACCTTTGTTGCTTGTTAGTGCTGGCAAGTCCCTTTCCAGCAGTGCCTGCCTGGTGGTGTGTGTCTGCCATACAGACTAGAGGTACTGTATATTCATTCTTACCACCTGCACAGCGATGGTCTTTGCTCTCTTAAGGTATTTTTGAGAGTAAACTTCTGGATCATAGATAAAATGACTTTTTGCATCTTACGTAGACTTAATTCTTAGCCCAGCTAGAAGAACAGAGGCTTGGACTAAGGAAGATTTCTTCCTCCTCTTCACTATTGACATCCCTTTATAGAAGATGAGAACTTACTGTATTCTCTGCGCATACAAATTCCTTCTTTACCCTCATCCTTCCAGTCTAATTATATTATAATTTGGGATTAGATCAATATGTTTTACTTTTCCATGACTATGTAAATATTATATGTAGCTGACCCACACAGTGTACTATAATTACATTTACTTTTACAAAATATTTTTGTTCTCTGGAGTTAACTTTTTTTCCCCCCACTTGCATAGCTTTCTAGAGCCCATCTCCTCTATGCCTCAACATTTTTACAAAGTCAGAACTGACTCTTAAGTTCATTTGAACTTAACACACAGACTTTTTATCAGCTTTATCTTCCTGCGGACACTTCACTCAGCTGACTGTGGTGTTTATTACAGCTGTTTAGGTCACTGTCCTCACAGCTCAGTTTTTTATTCCTTCACTGATTGTGAATGACAGGGAAAAACTCTGGATAAGTGAGGTTGTACTTGTGTTCAAAATGCTAAGGATTTTCCTAGCAATCTCTTCTCTGGGATGAAGTATTTTCAGTAGGTGCCGTCAGAGTCTCAACATTAGCTTGTTACTTTTCTGTCTTCTCATCTCTCTTTTTCATTTCCTTTGTAAGGATATCAATTTCCTTAGCAAAAGATTGTGTGAAAGACTTATTAACATTTTCTCAAATTTTGGGTAAGGCAGCAATATTTTCTTCCCACATAGCACAAAATACTGCATCAATAGCCAATCTTGGAAAGATATTGCTGGTGCCATTAAAATTGGTAGAACACTTTGGGGAATAAATTTGCCAATATGCAAAAGAATGATAAAAATCATCATTTCTCTGCCTTTGCAATTTCAGTGTAGGACTACACTGAATATTGTCAGGAAATAATCCAAACACGGAAAAAGCTGTGTGTAAGAAGAGTCAAAGTGGAGTTATTTGTAGGAGCCACTGCTTGGAAACAATATAATGTCAATTAGTAGGGGAATGGCCCAAGAATTATTATACTTTGCCTTTACATATATATTATATGCAAATACATACTACATATAAAGACAAAATAAGGATATTTTGTCCAGGTTTACTGTGATTATAACTGAGTAAAACATATACGTTGAGAACTGAAACTACGTACCTCATAAAGCTGTTGTCCGCGTGAGCAGGACTCCATATTCCAACGCTTATTAGTGTAAGCTTACCACAAATCTCTTGGCGAGGCAAAAAACTTTATTGTTCTTAATAGGAACTTCTCAACAGATCCTATCAAATCATCAGTACAAAGCATCAACTGAAAGTTAATGTCCTAAGACTTCATGAACCCCTCAACCCCAAATTCTTGCCTTGCTGTTTCCATCAAATCTGAACAATTATATCATGATGTTTACCCATTTTTAAACAATGCCCGCTCATTGAAAGTTCCACCTTAAACAAAATTCTAAAATTTCCCTGAAGTCTGATCTTGCCCTTCTCTCCGTGACACAACCCAAAGCTCTATTGAGCTGTGATGCCCTCACTAGTGGCAAGGCGCCAGCCCTGCATTAGCAACAGGTTATGATGGTGATACTTGGGCAGCCACACTCAACAACGTAGAACTATGCACTAAATATATGTAGAAAGAAATGGAAAAGGATGTGTAAAAATAATAATAATTGTGTCAGGGGATTGGAATTTGGCCAATTTTTGGATTCTCTTTCAGGTATTCTTGGTAATGAGGGCAAGGCTTATTTCAATCAAGAACTAAGAATTCATTTTGGTACAGCCACATTTTAATATGTAAAGATCAAATAAAGGCAAAGCTGTGCAACTTGTTATTCTCTTCGTTGTGTTTTGTAGAACGATCAATAACAATCCTGAGAGAAGACTACTTAGGTAGGAAGGAGAGCTATTCATATTGTAATTATGCTTGTAGAATCGAAATACTTATGGGCTGTTGTAATGAGAATGATCCAAAAATGCTCTAAAATCACTTAGTTAATGTTGAGAAACAATCAGGAGGACATTGACTATGGCCTTTAAATGGGTTTTGGTATTTAATGGGTTGGAGGCTTTAGACAATGGCTCGCTTAGCATTGAGTTCCATAAATGTTGTAAACCTAACACAGCATAGACACATATCACAAAATTAAACCCCAGCTTCTATTAACAGAAATCTTGTAGTCAATGTGTTTTCCAGTGTTTGTCAAATACATTTCCCATCTTTTCATGAAAATTGGGGAGAAAAGCTGGCCTGCGGATAGAGTTTGTCAGAGCTAACAAAGGCAGTTATTCCTTTGTACGCCTGGCAGTTACCTGTTTTGTGTCAAGTACTCCAATGTAAACAAACGTGGATGGTTTTATTTTTTTTTCTGGACAGAGCACGCACATGCATGCACACGCACACACAGGAGCACCAGCATGTGGGTGGGGGAGTGAGGCCGGGTGGGGAGGGGCAGAGGGTAAGGGAGAGAGAGAGAATCCCAGGCAGGATCCACACCCAGCCCAGAGCCCAAGGGTGGGGGTAGGGGGGCTGGACCTCAGGACCCCAAGATCATGACCAGAGCAGAAACCAAGAGTTGGAAGCTCAACTGACTGAGACACCCAGGTACCCTGATGGTTTGACTTTTAAAAAATGGCTCTCCTTAGGTTAATTAAGTCTAGTATCCAGGTAAATAAATCACTTCTCTGTTGGTTACTACCAATACCATTACCTTTTCAACTTTTTTTCTCCAAGGTATAAAAAAGTTTTGCCTGGTGACGTGTGTCAGCCAAGGCAAGACAACACCAAAACAGGATCTATCAATCAAAGAGTCTAACAACATCAGTCACCACGATCCAACCAAGAGATTTACGCAGCTTCTGTTGCAGGTAAAGACACATTGACAACAGGAATAAAGACAGTTAAGATTAATCAGGTAATTTTATTAAATATTTACCATTCAGCAGCAACCAACATGAACATCTGAGCTAACAGAATCTTTTGAAATGTTCTGCTATATAGCTGCTTCAGAAATACACACATGATAAATTGAACTGTTCATTGCCAAAAAACTTCTTTAAAAAATGGCTTCAAGAGCAAATAACACTGATTTACACAGTGCCCAAGCACTAGTCAACAATCTATTAAATTACAAAGGAAAAGGAAATCAAAGAAGCTTTGTTACCTTATGCATGTCAACTTATTTAAATGGAAGGCTTTACTTCTTTAAAGCAACAGGAATATGGAGCTTCTTATGCGTGTGTGTGTGTGTGTGTGTGTATTTTTAAGAATGTGATTACAAACACAAAGTGTTATCATCAAAAGCAAAAGCTAGTCCAGAAATTCCCGACTGCAAAACTTGCAAGATACAAAGCTAAAATTCATGTTCCTTTTCTCAATAATGAATACTTCTACTAAACATAAATATTTTAACATATATTAATTTTTCTGACATTCATTCAAAACTGTAAAGTCAATATGGCAGAATTATTGTTAAAAGCACATATGTACAAATATTCTTTTTCCATACATAAAGTATTTGGCATAATTATTACAATCATACTGCATCCACAACTGTTTGCTTTTATTTGTACTTTTTTTTTTTTTACACATAATGGTATCTCTTATTAAAATTAACTAGTTATGTACAAAAATACTTGAACATTTATCATAGAAAACCTCTATAACCAGCCTCAACAGCATATACCTGCTGAATGGTTTCATTAAGAGAATATAAAAAAGTGGTCACTGCCTTCCAGGTAAGCTATCAACAAAAACAAACACGGTTAAACTAAAATGAGCTTCCCAACAAAAGAGGGAAAATATTTAACGGTATGATTTAAAATACAGTTCATATTTATTGTCAATTGAGTGTTATAAACAGTCAATAAAAGAAAAAAAAATACAAAATACATTACTACATACAAGGTGCTTTTTTCACACTCCTGCAACTGTGGCTTTAGCATCCCTACCTAGATCTGAGATGCTGCGCAGCAATACTCAAGCCAGAGGGGTCTACAGCCTTCTCACCCTTCAAAAAACAGGATCCGCCAAGAAGACAAGCTCTGGTAGGAGCTTGGAGAGTTGTGAAGAATATTCTATTTGGCACAGGATTGAAAGTTAATGCCCTTACCTTTTGAAAGTCCTTTTGCCATTTAATCATGCTAATATATTTTCTCCAAGGTTTTTTCTCTTCATTTACGCTATTGATTTAATACTGTCCTGTATTGATTCCTGAATTCTTGTTAATGAGACACATTAATTTGTGCCTATTTAACACGTGAACATCTGCTCTTCTTCAATGACAAATGCTGCAGAGGAAACTATCAAGTACGGAAGCACAAGATTCAAGTAAACACTTCTCCTGGGGTCTTTTGCTTAATCTAGCAGATTGGAACTCTGAAAGTAAATTGCACCTTGAAAAGAAATACAGTAGATGCCGTGATGTCAGGATACTAAAGGATTTACCAACCGATTCACAAAGATAAAATTTTAAGACAGTAGATGGTGGTCAGATGTCAAAAGCAACCTTAAAGAGTTACTTTGTTTCAGGAACAAAATAACTTGCTGTCCTAGTCCTTGCAACCCCTTAAGTATATTGTCTGAGTAGCCTGCTTTAACTTGTAACTCTGTTGGTGTGCACTGATCAGTCTGTTCACGGAAAGAGCCAGAAATCTCCCCTTATGTACGGAAGTCTTCTAAAGCAAGGATCATTGTGTTAGGATGTGCATTGACTTTAGTAAGCTTTCTCGGAGTATCAAGTATTCAGTAAAAAGTATACAACATCATCACGCGCCGTATTGTTTGACAATAGCCTATTGGTTTTAAGATGAAACTATATAAAAAAGGTGAACATAAAAAGATACAAAAGAAGTCTTTAACGCTATTTACCACTTTCAAACGAGAGACATTGTAAGGAAAGTCAGCCATACTTCATGGAACATCTGGCGTTTGAGATCAGTAACTTTTAATATTGTGCAACATATTAATAAGCAAGTGTTAATTCCATTCATTGAAAGACAAATCTGAGTAAGTTATTAAAGTGCCTACACTAAATGTCTCCTCGTCCTACTGCCTATTCTCTTGTAAACCGCCAGGACTCAGCGTCACCGCGGGAGACCAGCAAAGGGACTCATAACTGCGAGACCTTGCGGGGCAGGGGCCGGGGGCGCGGGCCGGGCTCAGTCCTCCGGGTCCCGTTCTCCAGGTGGCCGGGCCGCGCCGCCAGCGGCTTGGGGGGCAGTGCGGGCGGCTCGGCCGTGACCCGGATGGAGAGGCTGTGAGGTAGCGGGACGGGCCGCCGCAGAGTCCGCTCGTACACGCTATAGGGCGGCGGTGTTTTGCTCTCCTTGCGCCCCGGCTCCTCTGGCCCGCTGTAGCTCGGCCCCGGCGCCAACTGTTCATTCACCTGATTTTCGAAGCCTGAGGTTTCCGAGGTGCTACACCGGCTGAGCGAAGAAATCCCACTGCTGTAGCTGCCCGACAGGACCGGGGAGTTGGAGATGAGTCCTGGGGAGTGGTACTCCACCGGAGAGGGCGTGAAAGACTGCACGGAGCCCTGCTCGAAGGCGAGAGAAAAGCCGCAGGGGAGACGCGGCAGAGTCATCAACACTGTCCCGGGCTGCCCGCCAGCCTCCAGCCCTGAACCCCAGCCCTCATCCCCGGCGCTCTTAACAGGACTCTACGTGGAGACCGGGCCTTGAAGGCGGTGGGGGCGGGGGGGGGGTACCTTAAAAGTGAGGCCTTTCCGGTAGGCCCTTGTCTGATCTGACTGGTGTCCTTACGGGAAGAAATTTGGGTAGAGAGGCCCCAAAGGTGCAAAGACCGCGCATTAAAGCAGAGGGAGAAGGCGGCCCACCTGCAAGCCAAGGAGAGGGGCTGCGGGAGAAACCAAGTCTCCCGACACTATTGTTTTTGGATCCTGCAGCTTCCTGAACTGTGAGGAAATCCATCCTTGTTGTTGAAGCCGCCCACACTGTGGCGCTTACTTCTGGCAGCCCTGCTGTGGGACTAATGCACACAACCCAGCCTCAAATCGGAGGCCTTGTCCTCTCCGCAGCAAGACGGACCTCGGGCTTTCACCTGCTATCCCCTCCGTTCACCTTGCTGGCCATTCTACTCTTTTTCGGGGCAGAAAGAAGCTAAAAGTAATCAGGAAGAAAATTCAGAGGTATATAATTAGTCCCATCATTTGAAAGATGGGGAACCCGCAGAAACAACAGAAAGCTTGGGCCTGTGCCGTTTTCCCCTTCTAGCTCAGCAGGGATGGGCAGAACTGGAGGACAGGAGCCAGGGCAGCCTGACGTGGGTGGGCCTCCTACCAAAGTCCTCTGGAGGAGGAGTGAGGCACCCTAGGCTTGCACTTCAGTTCTCTCCTATTCCTGACTCCTGAGCTGAAGCAGCAGCACTCGGGCAGCTCTCGGGCTCCTCTCGGGCTCCTCTCGGGCTCTAGACTGAAATGGGACCTGTTTCTTCTGGCACGTTTTTAAAGAAACTGACTTGGTTACCAATTTTGTAAAATAGGAAGATTTCTCATAAGACCCCAATATTTTTGGCATTACGTTAAAAAAAAAAAAAGTTCTGGCAACAACGGCTTGCTTTCTCTTAATGGGGACAATCTTTTGAAACAGGAGGGGTTTTCCCCTGGAGATGGGGCATGAATTCTTCAGCTGACTTTGGTCTTCACATTGTGTTCCACCAGCCTCCTTTGTTCACATATGTTAGAGGTCTACTCTGTTGGCTACTATGAATTTGCTAATTCCCCAACTGGTGTCCTACGGAAAAGGAGTCCTAAGTGATGCTCTGTGAGAGCAGGGTTCTACTGGGAAATGCTGCATATTGTGGGCTCCTTGAGTGCATTCAGAGCATAGTAGCATGTTAAAGTCTTACAATCAAGAAAATGAAAGGATACCTCAGCCTAGGGTTCTCTAAACTTAGTTGACCACAGACCACTTTTTTATTTATTGTGTAATGGCCTCTAAAACTATACCCTTAGGAGAGCATTTCTGAAACGCTATCCTAGACTAACTCTACTTGGTCTCTCTTTTTAAACAAAATAATGCTGGGAGACACAAACTCATTTAGCAGGAGCCTAAAATGAAGTGTTGCCAATTAGGGGATCCAAATTCACTGCTGTTCACTGTCAAAAATCAGACTCCTAGTTTAAATAAGGCAGGTAAGCTCAGTCTTCGCCACAGGATTAACTCCATCATTTAATTGCTGAAAAAACTGAGTTAAGGCAACAAACTGCATTCTAGGCATAGCAAAGCTCATAACTTGGTAGCACTGTGCCCCCTAATGTAACACAGGAGTCATAACAGAAATATGCCATTTGTTTTCTCTCCAAACCCTGTTTGTGTAGATATGGCTGCAGAGCTACCCCTGGCCAGTAAGAACATCACCAGCTCTGCAGAGAGAGAAACCATATGCCACCTTACCAAACGGGACTGTTTGGTAGCTGCTTGAATATTCTCATGCCTTCAGTTCTTTTTAACAGAATCAGTCTCGTAGACTTGCCATCTTACTACTCTACAAAATCAAGTTGGAAAATGCAGATGTTAATTGCATAGCAATATGTGGGAGCTCCTTGCGAGTAAGGCCAAATGTAAGATATGGAAACATCATGTTGCTTCCTTTCTCATCACAGCAACGTGACAGTCTACGGCTGCCCAAGCTAATGCAGTCACGGGTACGTTATGATTAACAGCTGCATTGCAGAATGACCAAAAAAAAAAAAAAAAAAAAAAACCCCCCCCACACAAAAACCCAACCGACCCCCTCCCAAAACCCCCAAAAAACCAAACCAGCAAATAATTTGCACTCTCCAGCAAATTTCTACATCAGAAACGTTGGCAATGCAAATGAAATCACACTTCTTTGCAATTTTCTCCATTTGGGGGCTTTTGTTTTCCAGAGTCTCAGTTTCTATCAGCAACTATCCTTAGCAACACAGATGCATTGGATCACGACCTGCCCCTGTGTGTTTTTAGAAGCTAATTTGTCTCTTTCTTTCACATTAGCAAGAAATACCTTCTCAACAAAAAGGACACGGAGCATGTAAATCCTCACTCAGATTCAAAATCATTCTTTTAACACCCACTTCAACCCCATATTTGCCTCTGGTGCGGCGGCTCTGAACACCAGTGTCTGTAGGTATTGACAATCCCTGCAGCCAGTCCCTGATTCAATTTGGATAGAGACTAAATATTATTCTTTACCTTCATGAGGGATTTTGTATGTTTAGAGATGTTAAATAGCCTATGTTTACCTATCAATTTAAAGCTTTTCAATTTGTTTCCGAGAAATTTTACTCCTTTTACTGTCTTGTTTTTCATGATGAAGTATGTATCTCAAATGTAAATGAAAACATTCGTATAAAACATGGAAGGAGAAAAAGTCAGGTTTGACTTTGTCAAACGGTTGGGACTGACAGAAGCAAAAAGGCCCAGGAGACCTTGTATTGGGTTTGATGGCTGAGTTTTTAATTTTTTTTTTTCTTTCTCTTTTTTTGATGTCCCTGAAATCAAAAGGCCAGACTGAAAACATCCTAGGAAATTCAGTGGGACCATATTTCTTTCCTAATTCAGTGTATAAGGAGATTCTAGTCCATACATTTTCACTGTCACTATTTGGGGAATGAGGGCAATAACCCGAACACAGAGGGCTGCACTGATGGAGGAGGCTCCCTGACAGGAAAGCCTGTTTTCTTACCAATCTTCCTTCACCCCTTCTCTGGGTGTTCTTTGCCTGGTCTGTACCTATGAAAGCAGCTCAGTGATGAACCACAGATGAATCGTAAGGAAAGAAGGAATGTGGAGCTAGTTTCTAGCCTGAGTCTAAAATATGAGTCTGTACCTTCAACGGAGATCTCCCAGCAGGTGAGGGGGACACTGACGTTGTATGTCTTGCTGGTGAAGCTGTAAACAGAGAGAAATGCTTTGAACGGAGAAAAACCAGAAGGTTCACTAGCTGCACATGCCTTCTGTGTACAAACCCATATAGATGGTCCAGTGCCTAAAGACCTCCTAGGCAAGGGGTGGGGGGAGAGGAGAGAAACTAAATGATGCCTGTCCGAATCAGACTCCTCACCAAGACACGGGAGAATTAGTGAAAAGTCACCAGCGCATACATGATGCTATACAGAAGTGACAGGAGCTCGAACTGGTCCAATGTCCCATTTTCCAGAAGTCCAGATGCTTTTCCACTGCCTGATCTGTTTCAAAAGGTGCTTTTAGGTGTGATGTGCCAGGGAGAGGCTTTGGAAAATAGCTGCTGACTTTGAGCAGCAATGGGGACACTCATGCCACCTAGGCAGGTTAGAAGGGGTCCATGAGAATAAACTGACACCAGCCCACCGCCCTCACATCCAGTACTCCCCATACAGAAAACCCTTGGCCACATCCAAACAAGAAGTGAGAAGTTTGGGGCGCCTGGGTGGCTCAGTTGGTTAAGCAACTGCCTTCGGCTCAGGTCATGATCCTGGAGTCCTGGGATTGAGTCCCACATCAGACTCCCTGCTCGGCGGGGAGTCTGCTTCTCCCGCTGATCTCTCTCCTCTCATGCTCTATCTCTCTCTCTCTCAAATAAATAAATAAAATCATTAAAAAAAAAAAAAAGAAGTGAGAAGTTTTCCATTTCCCCCCTTCATGCTTGTACTCAGGTCTTCCCTTTGTCCCGGGGCGGTGGGGGGCAGGGCGGGATGGAGTGGGGGTGGTGCTCTATGGATGTCATCATTACAGCAAAGAAGTGCTGTCTATTTCTCCCCCTAGGTTTCCTAGCCCTACAGCTGGGATGCAGCCCATGATGGCCCTGCTCTGTGTGCTCAGAGGTCAGGTCCAGCCCCCTGGAACACAACCACGCACACACAAAGCTGCCATGACACAGCCAACACGAGGAGGGTAAGTCAGATTTCCCAGTTCCACTACAGAGGTTTCACTGAGCTCAGGGTTTGCTGCTCTGTGATCAGCTGCCCTTCTCCCAGCTGCCAAAGTGAGGTTTACAACTCAAGAAAACTAGAAAGAGGCTGGAGGAAATAAAGACAGACAGTTACAGATCCCGCGACAGTGACCACAGATGATGACGTGAGGACAGACCCGGGGAGCAATCAGAGCAGAAGGGAGGGCAGCCCTTCCAGGTGAAACTGGGAGAGGTGAGGTCACCTATGTCCTAGTGCACAAGGGGGAGTGGCCCTTTGTGGCCATGTGGGGGTGTGCAGCACCTGCTACTCTCAAACACCGGTGTTAGTGTTAGCCTGTGGGTTGCGGTGGGGGCTGACAGAAGAAAATCCTGTGTGAGCGGAGAAACAGAGTGCTGACTGGGAACTGTGTTACTGCCACTGCTGTGTGTGGTCCAGGTTTACCACAGCCCAGGCTCCTCTTCCTCCTGAGCCGGGCATTCCGTGACCCCACCACATGGTTCCAGAGCAGCCCTTGCAAGCCATAGTCTGTCCACAGAGCTTTTCTAGAAAGGCCTTCTCCCCCATCGGTATCCTTGCCTCCAAGTTTGACTGGGCCTAGGCTCTGTATCACTACTGTTGTTCCTCTGAAAATGCTTTTCAAGTTTCTGACATGAGTGATACAACCAGTTTAAACTGGAGACTCCTTGAATATATGTACAGCATGAATAAGATAGAAATTACTTGGCTGAAGAGTCTTAACCGTCTTGGGCCACAGTGGTATTTGAATGTGGGTTATCGATGAAGCCTAGTTATTTCTTGTTCTGTTGAAAAATCTCACATGCTTTTCAAAACCTGTTGGTGACTTTTAGCTTTGACAAGTATAGAACAAACTGGGTAACACACAGTTTGTTTAAAAAAAAAAACAAAAAAAGTCAGTAAAAAAAAAGAAAACAAAGATGAGATGCTAAAATACAGCAAACGGAACCTGAATGAGCAACTCTGAAAAATCTGGGAAGAAAATGTCGTATTTGCTCTTGCTTTTAGGCCAGTTGTATTTGTAAACTCCAGAACTACTCTAGATGTGTGCACATGTTGAAAAGACTCTCCCCATCACCAAGAGAGGCAGATTCAGCAGAGGAGGACTTCAAGACTGTACCATATCACGGTTACCAAGCAAATGGCTTATTCAGTTGGAAAGGGGGTCTATTATTGCTATAAGCTCATGAAGTTTCTTAAGAATTTTCAGTGGTTCTCAAAATCTAGAAGGGTTTGGTAAAATATCAATTCTAGGGCTTTACCCTGGAAATGGTGATCTTCTGATTTAGATTTTCTGATCTGATTCAGATCTCAGATCTTCTAGGTTGAGCCTGAGAATTTGCTTCTTAAACCATCACCTGAAGGGCTGCAGTACCCTGAATGAACCCCTTGAGAAATCTCACATTTTTTTAAAGTTTTATTTATTTAGGGGCACCTGTGTGGCTCAGCCATTAAGCATCTGCCTTTGGCTCAGGTCATGATCCCAGAGTCATGGGATCGAGCCCCACATCAGACTCCCTGCTCAGCGGGAAGCCGGCTTCTCCCTCTCCCTCTCCCCTTGCTTGTGTCCTGCTCTCGCTGTGTGTGCACATGCAAGTGAGAAGGCGAGTGTGGGGAAGGAGCACAGCGGTAGGGAAACAATCTCAGGCAATCACTGAGCGCAGAGCCCTATGTAACATGATGTGGGGCTCCATCCCACGACCCTGAGATCATGACCTGAGCTGAAATCAATAGTAGAACACTTAACGGACTGAGCCACCCAGGCACCCTGAGAAATTTCACTCACTCCTGGATACAGACCTCTCTACACAAGGGATAGCAATGGATGCGAGGTTAGTTGCTCCCCACAAGCTTATCAAAGTTACAATTAGTTCCTATTTCGGGGCCATGTGAAACTCTGGCATCAGTCCCGAGTAAGAGTGAAGTGGCTGAATTAGCAGAGGTTGATAAGAATGAGGTGGTTCAAGCAAAGGACAGAGAAAATACTAAGGGCTTGGCAAAGCTCAGGGTACCTCCCCAAATTTTAAGGATGGTGCCTAGGAGGAGAACATCTGTCTACGGAGCTCATGAGGAATGGAGTACAGTCTGACTTAATGTAGTAAGAAATTCAGGAAAGAAGGAAAACACTGGGAATGAATTAAACTACTCAGGTTTTTACCTCAGACACCAAATGCCTACCTTTCTCTGAGGAATTCACGACAAGCTGGAGTAGTCATAAAAGTTACTTTATAAAAGTGACTGTTCAAATGCTTCAAATACCCACCAGTTTGTGTGGGTCTTGGAGGGACAGGGGGAGAGATAATTTTCCCACTATCCGACATGTTCTTGGCTTCTTTCCCACTGTCCAGGCTCCAGCTGCTAGGGGTGGGATTCACAGCTGGAAGGGAATAACACAGCTAAAAACACATGGTCCACTTTGCCCTTCGAACACTTGAGATCTTAGAAGAAAGTCGAAATTATCCAGAATGAAAAGATCAACTGGATTAAAAAACAAAAACAAAAAAACCCAAAAAACCTCCTAAACCTTTAATTTTCTACTTTACAGTTGTATTTGACATTTAATTGGGTGCTAGCATGTCTGTTTATTTCCCCTCAAGCAGTCAGACAAAACTACAGATCTCCACAGGAGAATGGTGGAATCTTGCTGAGAATTACAAATGTGTTTAGATAATAGATAACAGATGGGCGGACACAGTCGCTGAAGTATTTTATAAGTCAGTTTTTAGTGGAAACTTCTGGACAAGTGGCACCCAAAAAGAGGGAAGACAGTAATAGGCTAATATTTTAACTACCTGGCAGGGTGAACCACACCATCCTGTTGACCAAATCTTTGGCAAAAGGACCCTTGTTCCTGAAATCAATGGATCAGGCTGAAGTATGTCCTTAAAAAAAAGTAATTTGGAATACGGACCGTATCATTCCTTTTTTTTTAATTTGTCTGTTCCATGCTTCAGTAAGATGCAGAAATATGGAACAACTCCTGTTAGAAGCAAGGGCAAGACACACAAGATTAGAAATAACTGCTAGGAAATCAGGTTTCCAAAAGCAAGTCTTAAAAAAGATTGCTAGTGGTTTGCTCCCTGTACAGACACTGCCATCTGATGGACACAGCTGGGATTTCAACATTTTACTCGAAATCACCACATCAATTTCAGGGGATGGAATCACCACTCTTAAAAATTAATTTTTCTCAGTTCATTTTAAATTGGCTTTGTGGTTTTCCTTGGTAGAAGGGCTGAGAAAAACGCTAAGCACTCCAGGCAAGGATTAACATTCGACATGTAACATTAAAGCAAAATTTGTGTTTTAAAATCATTTCAGCTACCATCTCCCTAGTTTCAATCTCCCAAGGAAAGTTTTAATGTTAATCTATCCGTGTCGTCCAAGGACAATACAGTTTAGCTCTTAATGAGGACAATTAAAGTGCACTTTATGGGAACATTTCATTAGCGGCTCGAGTCCTGGGCTTACACGACTGCTCTGAGTTTTGAGGCTTGACCCCGCGCGAGGCAAATGGGTGACTTGCTGCTGGCCCCCACCCGCACGGTGGAGGGGGTCACACTGAATCTGCTCTTCATCTCCTGTCACCAATGCTAATTAGCTATTAACCGCTATGCATGGGTTTCTCATTTTTTTGTATGACCTTGAGGCAGGGCACTCCATTATGCACTGGATTGCAATTCCTAAGTAGTAGTATAGGAGTCCCCACTAACAACGGATGAACTGGCAGAGTGAGCTCTGTAAGGGAAACAAGGGTGGGACCAGGGAACCCATCTGGGAAGGTGCTATTTTCACTGTGCCGAACAAGTTGCCTCCTCAGCAGCTTTGTTTCAGGGAGCATAGGCATTGCCTTGGTGACGGGACCCCAAAAGCCATTTAACCGAGGGGTTCCTAATTTGCTCAGATTCTGCTGTTCAATTCTACAAGAAAACAGGTTTGAAAGGATGCGTCAGGAAAGACTGTCTTTCATGAACCCCCTAAGGGGCAAATTAGTCCCCATCACTAAAGATCCGGAGATCTGCCTTCCACAAAGACACACAATAGACTGGAGAAAATGAGGACAAAACAAAGCCTTACAGTTGCCGGAAGGGGGGTGGGCAATGAAGGGGCTGGCTTTATACCCACCTTTCTCAGGTGCAGAAAGATTCGGGTCACTGCGTGGCAAGGCCCCTTCTCCAATATGATTAAACAGCAGCCTCTGCAAAAGCACAAGAGTCTGTTTTTATGGTGCATTATGCCATGATGGGAGACCTTCTAGAAAATGAGATGATTGTCTCATAACTGAAACTTTTGGTTCAAAATAATTTTTATATGGTACATGATGAGCCTGGGAACCAAGAATTCAATTATATTTAAGGAAAAGAGGGGAGAAGAGTCTTAAGTTTAAGACGTTTGTATTCGGGGGCGCCTGGGTGGCTCAGTCAATTAAGTCGCTGCCTTCGGCTAGGGTCATGATTCCAGGGTCATAGGATCGAGCCCCACATCAGGCTCCCTGCTCAGCAGAGAGCCTGCTTCTCTCTCTCTCCCTCTGCCTGCTGCCCTGCTTACTTGTGCTCTCTCTCTCTCTCTGTCAAATAACTAAATAAATAAATAATCTTTAAAAAAAAAGTTTGTATTCGATTTTAAATTTAAGTGGTAAATAAGTTTTCATAATACAATGGAGGAAAAAACAGTAAGCAGCGGTTAAGCTATGGTGCTCTTTATAAATAAAACACTAGACTGGCAGTATGAAACATAAGAATTAAGAGATATTAGCTCAAAAAAATCTCTAGTGAATGGACATGTGTTGAGTCCTAGGTTAAAAACACAAAATGGACAATATTCTGCGGATTTTAACCCACAAAGATGCCAGTTTTGCATGGTTCCACCTAATACATTAAAAGAAAAAGGGCAGGACCTTAAAAGTGGATGCACCATAGCAATGTGTATTATCGGGGTTTTGGCAATGACACACTGCTTCACATTTTACCAAAAGCGGAAAAGCCGGAGGCTAATCAAGGAAGGTTTTCAGAGTCCCCCATGCTGGCAACACCCGCGCTCCTGGAGCAGATGGAACAAAGTGTGAAATTCCCTTGCAACAGCAAGTGACAAAGGGAAGGAAAACTGGTGAGCTGCTTCAGCCAAACGCGCTCAGAGAGAATTTCTGCGAGACAGCAGTGTTGCTCAGAGCAGGCATCCTGGGGCTTTCGGGAAGATTACACAATCAGCAAAGATAAACCAATCAAGCCACATCCCACTCGCTCTCATCCACTTCCAGATGCAGCTACAGACTTCTGCCAGGGTGATGTAGAAAAACAGAAAAATTAGCCGGAACATAAATGAGTACTGTTCTCCACTCCTAAATTATTCCCAAATCATCCGTAAAATGCAGGGCTACCCAAGAATCTCCACATTGGAAACCACCCTTCACAGCCCCTGAAATGCCCAGAGAGCCGAGCCCTTGGCCCTGCCCTCACCTGGACTAAGAGGGATGGATGTGGGAAACAAAGGCAGAAGAAAAATTACTAAATTTCCTTACTACCTACAGCCCATTGACACATCCTTGAAATAGGCAGAGGAACATTCCTCTAGTGACTCAACTGCCTACATGTTGACACTTTGCTAAGGACAAAAGGCAATCCTAGCCTAATCCCTCTTCCCACCCCTGGCCCCTAGGATCCTGTAAGTATACTTTAACATATAACAATCCTTTTGGAAAATTCCTTTATCTCTAACCCCTCCCCCACAGATACATGTTGGCAATCATCCCACAAGCATATCGCCCACCGATATACATCTGAACCTCTCATGACTCAGGTTTTATTAGATGGTAATAAATGACCTTTTCCCAATAATAGCTAGTCTCCTCAAGGTTCTGGAAACCTTGCTTCCAAATTCCTTAGAGACTTACGCTATCCCTAAGCCCCTCCCAACTTGAAAGTCTATAATGGGCCATTCCTCATGACCCTGGGGTGCAGCTCTTTCTACCTATGTGTCCTACCCCTGTTCTTTAATAAAATCACCTTTTTGCACCAAAGATGTCTCAAAAGTTTCTTCTTGGCCATCCGCTTCGAACCCTAACATCTTTCCTACATCAGGATCACTTCAAAATCAAGTCCTGGCAGGAGCTGAGGACCATGGGCCTTTACTCCTTGGGGTACAGGGAAAACCTGGGCCCCCAACTGCTTTTCTCTCAACACATTAAAGAATGGCAAAGGTGAACGGAAATTGTCCTTGTGCTCCTGGGTACCTCAGAAAGGAATCAAGTGAAGCTCTTTCAAACTAGGTAGCTGCCAAAAGAAAGGCTGCTGGACAGATCATGTTTCTCCAGGATTTTTGGCTAATGGAGAAAGTTGCTTGAAATTCCTGGTACACACACGCAAACACTCACAGACACTCCAGCTCATTCACCTAATTACCCATTGTCCTGTTTAAATAGCAGCAATGAACTAGAGAGCTAGGTCAAGGAGGGAAGAATCATTTCCCATTTTCCGTTCTGCTCGACTGCTCAGGCAACAACCTATGTATCTGTATCAGAAATATGGCTCCAACGGAAACTGTGAACAACAGGCATGGAACAGAGGTTCACTCTTCACTCAGATCAACTTGTTGTCTAACAAAGCCCATCTGGTTGCCTCTGGCAGGTACAGGGTTTTTCTGCAGAGATATGTAAGCAATTCCAGACATCGGCTTGTTTTCTAGGATCTCCGTCCCCCAAGGACTACCTGAGAAGGTTCCACAGGTGTTGGGTAGATGGCACTGCACGGTCTCTCTCTCGGGGACAGGCAAGAGTTTTCTCGGGAATGTTTGTGTTTGTCAGACAACAAGGGGGAAGCTGGGAAGAGAAGAAAAGGAAGGATCGTCAGGGTGAGGTGCTAGACCTGCCGGGAGGACAGGGCTTGTGTGCCGTGGCCGCTGGCCATCCTTCAGGAACCCGAGGGCCACAGCTCCCACGCGGCACCCTCAGTCAACCCCACACCCTGCCACTGACCTCTGGCGCTCGAGGGGGCAGAACTTGTCACATTAGGAGAAGCAGAGTGAGTCGAACTCAAGCTTGAGGTAGATGGACTTGGCTGCAAATACACAGGAGCTGTTATCACCCACGGCTTAGAGACTCCACACAACACGGACATATTGAAAACAAAATCCCTGCCCTTTCCTTTCAAAGGAGCCAAAAAACAAACCAGAACAAAACAAAATGAAAACGAAAAGCAAAGGGCCATTTAGAACTAGAGAAAAATCAGACTGATAAGGAAGCCTGTCTGAATTAATCACGAATTTGAGATTTAAAAACAAAATACTCCGAAAAAAAAAAAAAAAATCTGAGATTTTGACTCCAGCTAAAGGAACACATTCACGTTAGTTTCCGGGACACCCTGGGACCGAGGAGCAGGTAGCAGTGCCCTTGCCGACTAAGGGACACTGGAAGGACTCCCAGCCGACGCCACAGAGATAGGGGACTGCTTCTAAAGAGCAGAAGACACCTTCTTGTTTTCTTCAAAAATGTGCTCAAGGCATAAATTTGGCAGTAGGTGCCATGCCCATTTTCTAAAGACAGCGGAGAGGGAAATTTTAGCTGCTTCTTACTAATCAGTGTAAATACTCTATTATTAGTAGGGTCTGAATAGAATTTTGTGTGGCAGGAGTTACCCTAACTAATGTCCTTAAAAACTATTTTGTTTCTTCAGTAAAAATCTTTTTATTATGAAAATTTTCTGACAGGAACAGAGGTAGAGGAATTTTATAATGGCCCTCTCAACCATGTACTATGAAGCAAAAAGGCCACGTCGCCAGGCTAAGAGGCAGCTAGAGTGTGGTGACAGGCTCCCAGGGTCCCAAACTGAAGACGCAAACCAGAGGCAGGTTTCAATGCCAGCCCTGCACAGTGTGCCTGGGCTTTCCCGTTCTTGCTCATGTCTTCTGAGAGTGGAGGGGGCAGTTTTGGGAGAAACCTCTTTGGAGGGTCCAGAGACCAACAAAGCAGTAAGAGTGTTTAAAGCTTTGTCCTTAACTCAACGTTCTTGCTTGCAGATCTGTTCATGAGCCCAGCAGACTGAACAGAAACTCTCATGATTGAGACAGAAAAGGAATACACACGACCAGACGATTAAAAAGCCAATCAAGTACCTGCATGTTAAAGACTTCATCAGAGCTTTCTGATTGCCCTGTAATATTGCTTACTTCAGCAGAAGCTTGTGAGGACAGTGAGGAGGAAGAATATCGGTTGACAGCTGGGTAACTTAATGGGCTGTTTTGGGGGAAAAAAAATGGTCATTAACTCAGTCTCTGAATTGTACTTTATCGCATGCTGGTGTGGTATAAAACCAAAGGAAAAAAAAATATACATCCCATTTTGTTGTCTCTTGTTTGCCTCAATACAATCAAATGTTTGAGTTTATTTATTTCTCATGCTTTTGCTGTTTTACCAGTGACAGATGTCTGCAGCTGCCTCACAGGTTAATTATTTCATTAAGAAATAGCATATTTGACAAACTGTGCCATAAAGAATGAGAGAATCATTCCAGATCATCTTGTGGGGATGCCAAATTGTAAGATAATTCAGAATATGACTTACCTGCGTCTAGGAATTACCCTGGTACCATCTGGGCTCAGGGAAGCAGGGGCTGAGTTTCTACACACGCGGGGGCTTCCATTAGGAAAATGGACTGGACTGGCTTGTATACAAGCAGAGAACTCCTAGAGAGGGAGTGAGGGAAATATTTCAGATGAGCAATCGTAGGGGCAAAATAACTTGTGAGGTATTTTAGCATATTGTTATGAAATCTTTATGTAAGTTTAAAAAGGTTAAGTTTTGGTATTATTAAGCTTTCTTGCCCTTTTTTGTTCTCTTAAAAGTTGAACAGGGCAAATAGAAGATGATGCAAAATTTTAATACTGGAGGACTCCATGGTAAGATGGTGCACTTTGGTAGAAAAACCAAAAGATGTCACTCTTGGATACTTCATCGTCCCTCTAACAAAAAGCAAACAGGGAGTGGTCAGACTGCCCCCTATGGCCACTTTGGGTACGTACCTGAATCCCTAAACTTGACTTCATCACAAAGAACTGGTCGACCAGCTTTTTGTGTAGGGGTCTCATATCTTGAGGTACAAACTTCTCGTGCACGGCCAAACCAAATTCCAAAATCTGTGCCTTGAGAACGAGACAAGGAAAAAACCCACATCAATGAATAACTCCACCAAGTGCCTGCTAGGGGTCAAGCACTGTACCATGCACTCTGCATCTGCTATAGCTAATCCTCTCCACCCCACAGAGGAGCAATCCTTCATTTACAGGTGAGGATCAGAACAATCCTGCACATACTAATAGACAAATGGGGATTCAAACTGAAGTATTTCTGATTTTCCTGCTACCCAAAGTTTCTTTGCAGTATATTTTAGATCTGGAATAACAAACCCCCCCCCCTTTTTTTTCAGTTTTTTTTTTTTTTAATTTTTTATTTCTTTTCAGCGTAACAGTATTCATTGTTTTTGCACCACACCCAGTGCTCCATGCAATCCGTGCCCTCTCCAATACCCACCACCTGGTTCCCCCAACCTCCCACGCCCCGCCCCTTCAAAACCCTCAGCTTGTTTTTCAGAGTCCATAGTCTCTCATGGTTCACCTCCCCTTCCAATTTCCCTCAACTCCCTTCTCCTCTCCATCTCCCCTTGTCCTCCACGTTATTTGTTATGTTCCGCAAGTAAGTGAAACCATATGATAATTGACTCTCTCTGCTTGACTTATTTCACTCAGCATAATCTCTTCCAGTCCCGTCCATGTTGCTACAAAAGTTGGGTATTCATCCTTTCTGATGGAGGCATAGTACTCCATAGTGTATATGGACCACATCTTCCTTATCCATTCATCTGTTGAAGGGCATCTTGGTTCTTTCCACAGTTTGGCGACCGTGGCCATTGCTGCTATAAACATTGGGGTACAGATGGCCCTTCTTTTCACTACATCTGTATCTTTGGGGTAAATACCCAGTAGTGCAATTGCAGGGTCATAGGGAAGCTCTATTTTTAATTTCTTGAGGAATCTCCACACTGCTCTCCCTTCTAAGCACTTATGTGTCGCTTGGCCCCCGTCTACATTGCACAGGACTGGGAAGGAGTTGCTCCCCAAGGGATCTCTTCTCTGGATGACACTCCCTTTTCCATAATACTCTTTTCTCTTCCATCAGGTTCTGCTGTGCCTCTCCACAACCCCCCCGGGCTCAAGATTTCCAAAATTTGTTGAGGAAGACATGCAGGTAAAATGGGAACAGAAATTCTATCATAGTTGCTATGCTTTTTGTTTTTGTTAAAGAACGATTATTCTGGTTCACTTATAATGCAATAAGGAGCAGCTCCTACTTAAAAAGGGGGGGGGGGCGGTTTCCAGTGGTGAAGTCCCAAAAGAGATAAACACAAACATTCAAGTTTCTTTTGTTCTTTAACTATGAATACTGCTTAACTCCTCTGAGTGTCAGCTGCCTTTTACATTTAAAAAAAAAATGCCCCGTACTAAAGTGGTCAGAAAAACAAATTTCATGGACTGTGAGGAAAGCATATCATACCATGGGTTTTTATCACACTGGGTTTTATCTTTATATCTTGTGAAGATTTAAGATTGAAAGCTCAGGTCAAACAGGACTGAACCTGGTGGGTTAAAGTGTCCAGCACCTTCTGTAGGGGGACAGGACTGTGGCAGCCCCTACCCACTGCCAGCATATCTGCATAAAGATAAAAATACCTCAAACCTCAAGGACACCTTTAAAGGGAGTAGTGAGAAAAAAAAAAAAAAAAAGGAGTAGTGAGGGTGGAGTGGATGTCTGAGGGGTAAAGGAAGGGTCTAATGAAGGGAAAAGGGCGTGGAAGAGTTGACCTCAAGGGCAGGAATCCAGTTTTTAAACACTCGCTATAAGGCAAATTCTGTTTTGTCCAAATCACGTCGAAGGTTGGGTTCTCCCAGGAGTAGACCGTGGCATGGAGATGAGGATGTTTACTGAGGAGTCACCTGGCATCACTGTCTGTGTGAAGGAGGCACAGAAGCAGGACTGACTAAAAAGAATCTGGGAACATGGCAGTCATGTCAGCCTCTGCCCACACCAGGGGATCTCTGGGCCTCAACCAGGCTGTGAGGGTTGTGCTGTTATTGGGCCCAGATGGCTGGGCTGTTTCTTCCTCAGTCACTGGATGCGGGACAGCCAGGAAGGTGGTGATGTTGGGCCAGGCGGCATTTGGCAGCTGAGGCAATGGCTGAAGGACCAGAGCACCAATAGTGTCTGTCGATGGCCACCACTCCCAGCAGCTGGCTCAACAAGTCCTTTCTGGAAGAGCCACTGGGGCAGAGCATTTCCGAGGCCCCCAGGTAGTTTATCTGAATCACCTCACAGAGATCCAGCCGAGAATGGTGGCCTCGGCTAGCCTAATCCCCCACTGCTATGGTCTCAAAGAGATGGTGTGATCGCCCAAAGTCACGTGGCAGTCACTTGCACCGCTTATCCTATGACAGAGATCTAAAGTCTCCTATACCAAGGCTCTTTCCACAAGGCCCTATGAACATCAGACAGGATGTGGAGGAAACAAAAGTTCCCAATTTATTTTTCTTGAGAGTCTTCTTGGCCCTTTTAATTTTAATGCAGGGGAAAGAATTCAGTCAGACTGAACACCAATTGAGTCCTGCAGTGAGGCAAGCCACTCGCAAGAGACTGTACTCAGGTTAAATACTGATTTTTGAATATCAACAAAGGCCACAGTCATTCCATAATCCTAAGAACTGGATAAACTAACTTGCTCACTTCTAGTATCTACAGAGCACCAGGGCCACATCGAGAACTTAGCTTATTCTCGATTTCCTTGCAGGTCACCTTAAAGTAACTCCTTTCTTTTTTCCAGAAGCTGTATAACTGACCCTCTTCCAGCCATGGTACCTGTCCATGGCCACTTCTATCTCCCCAGTATTAAGTTTTGTGGATTAAGCCTGCAGAGCATAAAATGATGAAAATCAGATCCAACCTCATCATTTTCTTACCCAAAAGGGCATGCCTTATTTGTTGATTAATTTGGTATTATCAAGTAGAAGGAGATGCTTTGGTCACATCTTTTCATATGTATTCCACTGTTTATGAGTGTTAAATGTCCTTATTTCCTATTTACCTCAGCCTCTTAACTATTATGTCTCCTACCTAGGTTTTCAAACCATTTTCAGGCCGAGAGCTAGCTGCAGGAACACAGCAGGCAAGAGATTACTCTAGTTCTTTGTGCTTGCTGGAACTATATAAATAAAAATAAACTATGCTTTTTGGCAATAGAAAATGATGCATTTGTTACCTCATTTTGTCCATATCCTATCATCTATAGGTTTAGTCTTTTTTTTAAAGCAAAGTCTATTGATTGCCCCTTCACTGGAACACTTAAGTAAGAATCTCATTCCTTCTCTCATTCATTTACCTATTCATTTATTTTAAGTTGGCCTGAACTTATGGGAGCCCAAAATTTTGAGTGAAAAGTTGGCCTCAAGCCTACAGCAAGCCTTTAGGGAGAGAATGTTCAAACAGTATTCCAAGAAACTACATGAAATTGTCTGTCATAAGGGGCTGCCATAATTTACTCACTGTTAAATTTATTTTTGCATTGGACTGGAGAGTAGAAGTGAAAATGAGCAAGGTGGAATACATTACAGATGAATCTATAACCTTTGGCTGACCGCTTCTATTAGAACACTGATACAGAAAACCAGGGAGATGGGTCTCTGGGTAACCATGCATATCTAGGCAGGAAAGAGCAGGTAACCGGCTTCTGTCCCCAACTTACCTGCTCAAGCATCAGCTCTCTTAACCGTGCAATTTTCTCTCCATCTTCAGGGTGACTTAAGATATATTCTTTGACAAAAAATGCCTAGAAAGAGAATGGAGAGTCAGTTTACTTCAGGACAGTTAAAAAGTGAGAGACACAGCCGCTTCTAAAGGCCTGGCATCTTGGAAGAAACACCACTGTCAACCACATTTGTAGGGCAGGAGGAACGACTCCTACTGTGGGCAGCTGGTCAGAAAGGGAATACAAGGAAAGGATTGTTTAAGGGAGAGCAGCAATTGTGTAAATAAGTATCTGTGGTAAAGCAAGCAAACAGCAAATCCAAATCAATGAGCATTATATCCTAAAATAAAGTGCTTTAAGATTCAGTGTGACAAAAATGGTGGCCTCTCACCTTCCAGGCTGTTGGGGCTTTCTGTTTAAAACCACAAGGGCAGATGAAAAGTCTGTTTAAAGTATCTTCTAAACAAGATCAGACATGTCTATGCCTGTGAACCTCCTTGGTCAGGGAAATGGTTTAAGGTTGACATTTATTAAGTAATTTTTATAACCTGATCACTTTATTTATCCAAGAACACACACACACACACACACACACACACACACACACACACACACACTATCCTCAAAATACCACATATCGGAAAATGGTGTTAACTAAGTGTGCATCGCAAATAACTGTTTCCTCTATTTAACCAAGAACTCTGTGTCAATTGTAACCCTTTTTAGCATGGGGATTTGTGTATTTATTTTGAAAAAAGACTTCTGAGGCCCTAAGAAATCAATTTAAAAACTTTCAAACAACAATACCTAATCCTTACCTCTTGATACCTGGAAACTCCACCATTAACCGCAGCATCTATAACTCCATTCAGGCACATGGTCAAGGGATTAATATTCTGCATCTGTCTTGTCTGACACTGACTAATCAGAGTCTTCAGCTGCTGATTCTTATTTTCCAACACTTCAATTGCATTTTCCAGAGGACTCATTTCTACCTGAGAAGCAAATGCACATAAACATATTTTGGATTTTGTGACATTTAAGAAGAAAGTAGATTATCCGTGCTCTGAATTATCTGTGCTCGCCCTTGGCTCCAATCAGTATCTCCACCAGGGGCCATACAGTAGACTAGACAAGGATGTGGAAGACAAATCAGCTGTTCATTTAAAGGTCTGGAAAGTGAAGGTGATTATACTGAGTGGTTGAAACGTGGCAGGGATAATCAACAACCATCAACCCTATATTAGCACTGCAAGAAGCCATGTAATCCTTAAAAGAAAATCCGAGGATCTCATGTCTGTTAAAACTCATTTTTCTTTTCTTTTGAAGGACTAAATATTCAGGGGCCCTGCATATTATTATCACCTTTTTAGTTGCTTACTTAATGCAGAGCATCACAGGAGATACAAAGATGCATTTACAAATCCTCTGATGTCAAGGAGTTTCAGCCCAGTTGGAAAGATGGGACATATGCCCATATGGACCCCATATGCACATATAACAGCACCATAAGGTAGCACAGGATGGTACTCGGTTGGGAGTTATGGAAAATAAGATAATCGTATATGCTGTAGGATCTATTTGTTGAAGGAGAGCCAAACAGAATTATAATGATTTAAAAATTCTAGGTTATATGGGGAACCTAAATGTGAAAATGATGAAAGTGTTCTTCAAATGTTGAACATTGTGGCCATTACTGTCATTGACATTCTCTTTGAAGAGAAGGTCTGCCAAGTTCTTAGCTGTAAAGAATTCAAGCTTACAATAAGCACATTTAAATATTGGTTTTTTCCAGTTAAGGAAACAAATTAGATTTTTAAAGGTCACTTACATCATCTTCAAACAACACTGAAAAGTACTAGACTAATTTGACTATGTCAAAATTAAGATTATACATTCATTAGGAGGCATTATGAAGAGAAGGAAAGATAAGCAAAAAAGGAGAAGATATTTATAACATATAAAACCATCAAAGAGCCTATGTCCAGAATATATAATGAACTCTCAAAAACAAGATGGCAAATGGCAAATGACCCAGTAAAAAAATGAGCAAAGTCTCTACATGGACACTTTATAAAGGAAGAAATCCAAATGGTCAGTAAATACATGAAAAGGTGTGGAACCTCACTTGTGATCAACATGAAAAACACCACCACAGTAATCAAAACATCTACATGGATACTTTACAAAGGAAGAAATCCAAATGGCCAGTAAATACATAAAAAGGTGTGGAACCTTACTTGTGATCAACAACATAAAAAATGATACCACAGTAATATACTACTAAACACTCACTAAATGACAAAAAAAAAAATAGGACAACAGCAAATGATGGTGAGAATGTGTTACTAGACTCTCTCAATTTTGGCTGTTGGTAGTTCAAATCGTTTCAATCACTTTGGAAAACAGTCTGGCATTATCTACTAAAGTTAATGATTTCTTTACTATATTTCATGGTCCTACATGCAGTTCTATGTATGCCTATCTCTGGAAAAAAAAGTGGAGTAGGAGATGTATGTAGATGTGTGTGAAGAAAATGTGTGTACAAAAATGGTCATAAATGTCTCAAAAATCCCTGTCTGTTGATAAGAGAATGCATAAATATATCATGGTATGTTCACACAATGGAATAGCACCCAGCAATGCAAACAAACTTCAGTCACAGGTAATAACATGGACTAACATTCAAATAATACTGAGTGACAGAACCAAATCAGAATATACAGACTATGATACTGTTACATAAAGTTTGGAATCACGCAAAACTAAATTGACTTGTTTTAGAGAAACAAACTTAGAGGATCAACCAAGAAAGGGAATGGATACCATAAAAGTGAGGACAGTGGTGATGTAAGAGAAAGGGAGCGAGTTGTCACTAGAAAGGGGTACATGAAAAGCCTCTAGGGTGCTAGTAGCAATGTTCCCTGACTGAGCGCTGGCAAGTGGGTATTTATTTGTGACAATAAACATTTGTTTTATAAGCACAAAAGCTGAACCAGGAAGTAAAAGGCTGAGGACTCGGATGGACTGAAAGTTAAAAAGATATCTTAGAAAGCAGGACAGTGGTTGGCAGGGCTGGGGAGGAGGAAGAGGGGAAACGTTCAGTGGGTATAGAATTTTCGTTTTGTGAGATGAAACTGATCTGTTGCATAAGAATGCACACATAGTTAACTCTGTTGTACTGTACACTTAAAAATAATTAAGACGGAAAATTTTATATGTGTTTTGGCCAATGGTAAAAAAAAAACATGCTCATCTTTATAAATTCAAATGCTACTAATATGAAAAAAATTTAAAAAGAAAACAAAATGGGAGAATAGTCCAAGATGGCAGAGAAGGAGACCTTAATTTCCTCTGGTCCCAGGGATTCAGCTAGTTATCTATCAAATCACTCTGAACACCTGTGAACTCAACCGGAGATCTAAGAAAAGAATTGCTGCAATTCTACAAATAGAAAAGCGACCACTTTCTGCAAGGTAGGAGGTGCTGAGAAGCAAATCTGAGGGGATATTTTGGAAGATAAACTGGGGGAGGGGAAGCCTATGGAGCTACTGGAAAGTGACATAGCAGGCGAGCACAAAATCAGAACTTTAAGTCTGCTATGGTGAAGGACGTCTCTGCCTGAAAGCAGGGCAAAATCCTGTGAAGGAGAGTGTGGTCTCAGGATCCCCGGAGTCAAAGGAAGATCGGGTGACCAGTGGAGCAGAGCTCCCAGGCATCGGAGCAGGGAAGCCGGCTGTAGTTAGCAAGCCTTGGAGTGGGCTATGAGCTTGGTGCTGCCATATACCGCAAACAGCAGCACAGTCTGGTGACTACTCTCTGAGCAGGGGCCCAGCAAGCAGCAGAGCTGTGGTAAGAACCCCCTTCCTCCCCTGGGGAGGAGTGGTGCAAGTATGTATCGAAGGAGCCTGCGGGGTTTGCAGACTCAAAAAGGGGTCACACACCTGAGATCGAAACACTCAGTCACAGGTTGGGTGAGCACGGAGTGTGCGTGGAGACCAGGGGGACAGGAGTGACTGACTGCTTTTCCCCGAAAGTGCACTGCTGAATGGGACCCTGAGCTTTGGGTTCTGGCACTGGAGATTGGGAAGTCGCCATTTTCATTCTCATCCTCTTAAGCCAGCACAAAAAGCCTTCAGGGAACAAAAGCCACTTTGAGAAGTCTGGAACCACTTACTTAGCCTGGCCACTGACAAGGGTGGTATAATACTGCCCAGGGAAAAGAGACCTGAGAATCAGCACAACAGGCCCCTCCCCCAGAAGGGGCTAAGACCAAGTTTACTGATCACAGAGAACTGCAAAACTACAGTGGTAGGGGAAAACTGTATATAGAATTCATGGTATTTTCCCCATGATTCTTTACTATTTCAATTTTAATTTTTTTCTCCTTCCTTTTTCCATTAATTTCCTACTTTATCAACTCCCTTTAAAAAATCTTTTTAAATTTTCATTTTCAGAGTTACATTCTGTACTTTTATTGCATTTAATTTTCTTTTTGTATATGTATGTTTTTCTTTCTTTACAATTTTGAGATGCAGTTTCTTCTAACAAACAGACCAAAATACACTAAGGATATAGTGTATTGCTCTGTTCTGTTCACTTGTCTGATTATATTCTCTTTAAAAAAAAAAAAAAAGTTATTATTTTATCTTTTTTGATTTCAGCTCTCTTCTGATTAGTTTAGTGTCTAATTCTCTGGGGTTGTTGCTGCCATTTTAGTATTTTGTTCTCTTGTTCATCTATTCTTCTCTGGACAGAATAACAAGATGGAAAAACTCACCTCAACAAAGAGAACAAGAGGCAGTACTGACTGCCAGGGACCTACTCAGTATGGATATAAGTAAGATGTCAGAACTAGAGTTCAGAATAACAGCTACAAAGATTCTAGCTGGTCTTGAAAAAAGCATAGAAGACACTAGAGAATCCCTTTCTAGAGAAATAAAATAACTAAAATCTAACCAAGTCAAAATCAAAAAGGCTATTAATGAGAGGCAATAAAAAATGGAGCCACTAACTAGGATAAATGAAGCAGAAGACAGAATTAGTGATATAGAAGACAAAATTATGGATAATAAAGAAGCTGAAAAAAGATAACTACTAGATCATGAGGGGAGAATTCGAGAGATAAGTGATACAATAAACTCAAACTATATTAGAATAATTGGGATGCCAGAAGAAGAGGAAAGTGGAGGGTGGGGTGGGCAGAAGGTATACTAGAGCAAATTATAGTGGAGGACTTCCTTATTTTGGGGAAGGAAACAGGCATTCAAGTCCAGGAGGCACAGAGAACCCCCTTCAAAATCAATAAAAATAGGTCAACATCCCACCATATAATAGGGAAACTTGCAAATCTTAAAGACAAAGAGAAAAATCCTGGAAGCAGCTCAGGACAAGAGGTCTGTAACTTACAAGGATAGAAACATTAGGCTGGCAGCAGACCTGTCCACAGAGATGTGGCAGGCCAGAAAGGACTGGAATGATATATACAGGGTGCTAAATGAGGAAAATATGCAGCCAAGAAAACTTTATTCAGCTACATTGTCATTCAAAAGAGAAGGAGAGATAAAAAGTTTCCAGGACAAATAGAAACTAAAAGAATTTGTGATCACCAAACCAGCCCTGTAAGAAATATTAAAAGGTAACCTTTAAGTGAAGAGAGAGCCCTAAAGTAACATAGACCAGAAAGGAACAGAGACAATATATACAGAAACAGTGACTCTGTAAAGTAATACAAAGGCACTAAATTCGTATCTTTCGGTAGTTACTCTGAATGTAAATGACCTAAATGCCCCAACCAAAAGACAAAGGGTACCAGATTGGATAAAAAAGCAAGAACCATCACTATGCTATCTGCAAGAGACTCATTTTAGACCCAAAGACACCTCCAGATTGAAAGTGAGGGGGTTGAAAACCATTTACCATGCTAATGGACATCAAAAGAAAGCTGGGGTGGCAATCCTTATATCAGACAAATTAGACTTTAAACCAAAGACTG